TGCTAGCACAGTGCTTGGTATATAGTAAATGATCATTAAATGCTACCTTAGAAAAGAAAAGCCTCCCAATGGGAAGCAGTTATGACAGTCAAAAGCAGCTGTCCCATTTCAGGGAAATCCCTTGGGAGACTTTGTAAGATTTCTCTTCAAAATGGTTATATACTCTTCTCTATTTCAAAAATATTTTTCAATCAAACACATACCCTACTTTTTCAAAGTTTCTGTTGTTCTCAAGAAGCCTTCAAAATTACAAGCCCCCAGCTCCTGATAACAGTGGCATTGGCTGATGGAGAGAGACGTGGTGACAGCAGTATGAAAAGAACTAAATTATCCCATTTCCACATGTCTCCAAATAGGCTCATGGGTTCTCCTTTCCCTCCTTCGAACTATTTCTCATTTCCTTTCGGGTTACGTGAGCTATACAGTTGGAGAGCCCTTGAGGGGTCACCTGTCCATCTCTGCCTTAAAATTAGATAGAGGATATCTAAAAACCACGGTGATAATTGTTTTTAAAAAAAAAAAATCTAGAGTTCATTTAATTTTGTCAAGTGAGTTAGCGGAGGTCAACAGGAGCTGGCCGACTTGAATGAAAAGAGGCCAGTTCTATTTGAAATCGCATTTGGGCCAATAAACTCTGGACCCCAGCTCATCACCTTCTCAGACCATTCTCACCTCACACTTGCTGCCTTCCAGTTTATCACAAGGATTTTGGCAGGTGTAAACATCCTGAAGAAACTACAAGTATATGGACTGGCCTCGACTACAAGCTAATCCTCATGATCAGCTGCCCAAACAATGAACCAGCCTCTAGATGGAACTGAGCTCTCCCTGAAAAAACAATAAATCAGTATCCAAAACATATCCGGGTGAGGGCCTGCCCAGTGGCGCACTGCTACAGTGCGCTGCTTGGGAGCGCGGCAGCGCTCCCGCCGAGGGTTCGGATCCCACATACAGACCGGTTCCCGCTCACTGGCTGGGCGAGGTGCGGGCGCGACACCGAGGGTTGTGATCCCGTTGCCGGACACGAAAAAAGACAAAAAGGAAAAAAAAAATATCCGGGTGAGATCAAAGAACAGGCTATTCTCCCTCAGTTCAGCAGTGACTACAAATGAACTGTCTGCTCATTGGGAGGCAAACAGCTGCCCGCTGCTTATCACATTCAGGGAGAACAAAATAGACGTGCCTAACATCAACTATTTATATAAAATTTTAAGTCATTTGCTTTCAGGTATTTTGCTTTCTCTCCAGAAAAGGTGAAGAATGGGACTGTAATCCCTAAAGTCTTAAGATGCACCATTTCATTTTAGACTTAAATGAAAAGACGTTAAGACTTTGTCTTTTGGGTACTGAAGAAAGAAGTCACTTTCTCTTTTCCTTTAAACTTTAAGTCAAACAGTACAGAAGGAGATTCAAAATACATAGTAATGGGCTGGGAAACCAGTTTTCAGGGGGACGGGGGTTTAGCAGTACCTGATTTCTCTGGTATAAATACCCCCACCATAGCCAATTTCAAGCTACCATCGGTTTAACAACCCACTCACAAAATTCCTGAAAACTTAACAGTTGGCTCTCGAAAGCTGGCTCCTGCAGACCACAGGAGCTAGGCAAAGAGGTGACTGGTACAGTATTTCTTTCACACCCTGTCTTTTATTTGACAAGTAAACTCAGTTGTTAAATGACTAAAGTCATCATACCTATAACCACACTTAAACAAGCTTTTAAATATATGGGCCGGCCCGGTGGCGCACTGCTACAGTGCACCTCTTGAGAGTGCAGCGGCGCTCCCGCCGAGGGTTTGGATCCCACATACAGACCGGTTCCCGCTCACTGGCTGAGCGAGGTGCGGGCGCGGCGCCGAGGGTTGCGATCCCGTTGCCGGTCCCAGTCCGGTACGGGCGCGACACTGAGGGTTGCGATCCGTTGCCGGACACGAAAAAAGACAAAAAAAGAAAAAAATATATAGTGCTTCATCCTAGGGAATCATTAAAACTCAGTTTACACATCAAAGGAGACTGTCAGAGTGAAGAGACAATCTACAGAATGGGAGAAAATATTTGCAAACTATAAATCTGACAAGATTTATATCAAGATATGTAAGGAACCTAAACAACTCAAAAGCCAAAAAAACAAGTAACCCAACTTAGAAATGGGCAAAGGATCTTCACAGACATGTCTCGAAAGACATACAAATGGCCAACAGACATATGAAAAAATGCTCAACATCACTATCATCAGGAAAATGCAAATGAAAACCACAATGTGACACCACTTCACTCTGGTTAGATGGCTATTATCTAAAAGACAAAAGAAAAAAAGTGTTGGCAAGGATGTGGAGAAAAGGGAGCCTGTGTATGCTATTGATGGGAATGTAAACTAGTACAGCCATTATGGAAAACAGAATGGAGGGTCCTCAGCAAATTAAAAATAGAGCTAGCAATCCCACTATTGGATGTATACTCAAAAGAAATGAAGTCAGTATGTCGAAGATATATCTGCACTCCCATATTTACTGTAACACAATTTACAATACCCAAGATATGAAATCAACCTAAGTATCCAACAACGGATGAATGGATTTTAAAAATACAGTATATAGATACACAATGGAATACTACTCAGCCATAAAAAAAGAATGAAATCCTGTCATTTGTGGTAACATGGATGGGCTTAGAGGTTATTATGCTACATGAAGTAAGCCAGGTACAGAAAGACAAATGCCAAATGATCTCACTCACATGTGGAATTTTTTTTTAAAGTTGGTATTATAGAGAAAGAGAGTACAACAGTGGTTACCAGAGACTGGGGAGGGGAGAAGGGAAGGGAAAACAGAGAGAGGTGGCCAAAGGGTACAAAATTACAATTAGACAGAAGGAGTAAGTTCTGTGTTCTATGGCACAGTAGGGTTACTATGGTTAACAGTTAAGTTTTGTATATGACATAATAGCCAGAGGAGAGGCTTTTGAATGTTTTTGCCACAAAGAAATGTTAAATGCATACATTAACAACCCTGACCTTATCATTATACAACACATATATGTATCAAAACATCAGATTGTGCCCCATAAATGTGCAATTACAATAAATTTTTAAAACTAAGGTTACACAAGAATATTTAATAATGAATATATTTAGAAAATATTTTAAGTGAAAACAGTATGTCCAGTATGATCCCAAATTTGCATATAAAAATGACTAGAAGGATAAACCCCAAAATGTGAAACTAATTCTTTTAGTTGCATGGTTATGTGTGGGTTTTATTTTCTTCTATGTGCTTTTTTCTATTTTTCAAATTTTCTACAATGCTTATGTTATATTTACAGCTGGAAAAAATAAATCAATAAATATTATATATCTTAAAAAGTAAAAAATATGGCATTTCAGATTCTTTTATGCCCATAGAACTGGCTAGAGGACTGAATCAGATCAACTTTATTTAAGGCTAAATCTTTTATCAATGACAATGTAGTTGATTTTCATGTCCCTTTACCAATTCCTCTTCCCCCCACTCTCCCCACTCCCACCCATCAACATCATATCTGTTCACATGTCTTAATGAGCTCAAGGAATTGTGAATATTGTGTCTTCTTCCCCACCTCCCCCATTTGTTTGTATATTTATTTTTAGCTCCCACAAATAAGTGAGAACATGTGGTATTTCTCTTTCTGTGACTTATTTCACTTAATATAATTTTTTCTAAGTCCGTCCATGTTGCTGTGAATGGTAGTATTTCATTTCTTTTTTATAGCAGAGTATAGAATTTCATTGTGTAGATATACCACATTTTATTTATCCACTCATCTGATGACGGACATGTGGGCTGGTTCCAACTCTTGGCTATTGTAAATTGTGCTGCAATAAACATGGGAGTACAGGTATCCCTTCAACATGATTTCCATTCCTCTGGGTGTATTCCCAGCAGTGTAATAGCTGGGTCATATGGTAGATCTTTATCATTTATTTCTGTGATGTTTTACCAGTTTCAAAGTACTGTCATATGCATTATCTAATTCCATCATCCTTGTTGCAAAAAAGGACAGGTATTATAGTCTTATTTTACAGATGAGGAAACAGAGGCTCAAAATGATTAAATGATTCGCCCCAGGTCACATGGCTGATAAAGCAGTTAAACTGGGACTTTGACCCCAGATTTCTTTCTTTTTTTTTTTTTTTTTTAAAGATGACCGGTAAGGGGATCTTAACCCTTGACTGCCCCAGGTCACATGGCTGATAAAGCAGTTAAACTGGGACTTTGACCCCAGATTTCTTTCTTTCTTTTTTTTTTTAAAGATGACCGGTAAGGGGATCTTAACCCTTGACTTGGTGTTGTCAGCACCACGCTCAGCCAGTGAGCGAACCAGCCATCCCTATATGGGATCCGAACCCGGGGCCTTGGTGTTATCAGCACCGCACTCTCCCGAGTGAGCCACGGGCCGGCCCTTGACCCCAGATTTCTGACTGTAACCCCTGAGACCTTCCCTCAAAAACAAGTGGAGGGAAGCTTCGCTCATGGTTCCTTCATTCAAGTTCCTACTGAACACCTAGACCTGATTCTATGAGGCATTCTCCTGGTCTTGCCCATTTTAAATGCCCCAACCTGACCAGAATCATCCAGGTAGGGCACACTATGTCCAGGCCTTGATGCTACACAGAATGATATCCATGGTGGACTTTAGCTTGGTAACTTATGAACATGACAGTAGAATTTGGTCAGAACCACAGAACCCCCACTTTGGAATGAAAACCATGAACAATGTTCTACACGTCTATTTATAACAATCTTTAAAGGCTACATAACAGGCTCTAATATCAGTTTCCATAGCTTCTCCCTACAGAGTAGCCTTTACAAGGATGGCTGAAGGAACAATTTCTTGAAAGATCTTTGAAGCCTCTGTTGGGTCCTGTGTGGTTTGGACTGGAATGTCCGCTTCCTGCTTCTGAGTCCTCTTTCCAGCTCACAGGAAGTTCTTTACCTGGGCTTGTTAACCAGAAACAACAGCACATTGCCTCAAGTAACAGATTTTAATGTGTGGGTTTATACAAGTTAAAAACAAACGAATGAAAAACAGCACTCTGATAAGACCTCATGCAAAACCAGAAAAGCCAAGCCATCAGGCTTCAAGGAAACAGCCCTAAGAGCGGGGTGGCCCAAAGTGGGGAAAAGATGTCTCCTGCAAATGTCACTGTGCAGCACCAAGAGGGCAAAGCACTCCAACCTGGACCCTTCAGGATAAGCAGTTTGGGAGCCTCAGGGATCCCTCTCCCACTATGGTGACAAAGCCGCTTCTTCAGTGACATCACAGGGATAGGCCAAAGATGAGGACTGTGCCTTGAGACACAATGTTTCCCAGGATTGACTTTAAGATGCTTTTGCAGATACCATGTGATATAAATGTGTAGCTGGTTTCCATCTGCACCCTAGGGTGTGGTCAGTTAACTTTACTGAAGGACCCTAACCGGGAATACCAATGTGGGGATGGAAAGCTACTCAAAGTTCCACTCTAGAGGTAACCAGGGTATACGTGAGCTACATTTATCTGTTGATCCACAATAGAGGCTTAGTTAATTAGGACCATGACTATTAGAAATTACGTCTCATTGGTGAAATTACCTTTCAAGATTTGTGGACTGGTTACAAATATTGTACAGCCCCTCCTGCTCTAGGATGGACAGGGTACAAGGAATTAGGGAGCCCAATTACCTATGGCTTTGGAATGGTACCCAACACAATTGTTGGAGTTACCTATGCAACCAGTTTAGCTGCATCTTGTGGCTAAAATACTCTCCCATCTGTTCTGAATGAATTTGCACATAAGGTATCACCAAAGCACTTAAGAGAATGGACACCTGGGACTTCACCAAGCTTACGGAGGCAGGATAATTGTCTTGTTGCCAGCAGGTGTTGACACTTGCTTTCCATGGTACCATATTCTACCTGATAGCAAGTTTGTAAGAGAGAAGACCCAGAGGGCTCACTCATTTTCAATCAGTAGTGATCGTCAACAAAATAATCACAAATGATCAAGTCAATTTGACTTGGGACCTTCTGCTATGATAATTTTAGTATTCTGAGAAATAATTAGGGAACTTCTGAGCAGAAGCTGAGTGAGCTACTTACACATACTGAGTCCTGTTATGTGACCTCAACTGTACTCACAAAGGGGCCTGGGGAAATTTGGGGTTACCTTTTTATTCCTGAGCAGGCCTACCATAGTGCCATGCTTACTAAATGTGTGGATTTCATGGTACCAGGATTTCTGATCTCAGTTAAATATCACAACTCAGTTTGTAAAAATCAATCTTAAAGCACTTTGTTTTAATCTTTATTCTCTCCCTTATTATAAAAATAATACAAGCTTACTATAAGTCTTAAATTATAGAAAACTAAAAAAACAAAAATTCCCCAGAATCCTTCCCTCAGTGATGACTACGACTACTCTCTTCAATTAAGTATTCTTCCAGATTTTTTAAGCTTATAGTAGTAAATAAACAGGGTAAAGTGGATTCCTACTATACGTACATGCTATTTTGCTCTTGTGCAAGTCTTCAAATAGTTCTGACAAATAATTCAACTCACCAGTTTCTCCAGACAGCTTAATGCATTAGTTTTCAGAGAAGATTCAACCACACAGTGGGTAGAAAATCTCTAAGATTTTCTTACCATTCAATATTAAATATTTCCAAAGTATTAAAGGCAAAATAAAGTTTTAAAAAAACAGAAAGCAAAGAATAATGAATTTGATACAGGGGAGAAAACAGTTTAGAAAATTACCCCAGTTTCTTATCAAAATAAAAATTCCTAAATTCCAATTCCACCAAGTATCATAAAATGGCTTTAAAATTCAAATTTGAAGAACAATTATTTCTTTATCATAAAACATAGCTGTAAAAGTAATTCTACAATTATTTAACAAATAAGGGGGGGATGAGGGACAGATTGGGGACACAGAAAAGAGTTCAGCTTTTGCAACTGGTAAAGGACAATTTTGATTCGGTCTCCCATAGCTGCGTTTGTAATGCTTTCAAGACATCTTCCATCTATTGAATTGAAAATAAGAACATAAAGAAGCATACATATGAATAGGATTAGAAATTATACATGGCTAAATATGATTAAAATACATTGTTAATGTAATTTTGAACATGTTATATGTCATAGTAATGTAGATATTCAATGATTGTTTAACAAAACTATTTAGAGGCATAAAGTAAATTTTACTTAAATAAGACATAACTCTAACTAACAGTAGTTCTCAATATATAATCTATAGCTCTTTTATCCACTCATCACCATTTTGCCTATCTGGCCATGAGAAGATGTTAACATTCAATAATAAGGCTGTTTATACCATAATAATTGAATTGAATGAAATATTGATTTGATTCAAAGATATATTTCTAGTTTAACAGTTTTAGAATGTATACTGTTTTGGGCTGGCCCGTGGCTCACTTGGGAGAGTGTGGTGCTAATAACACCAAGGTCACGGGTTCGGATCCCTATATAGGGATGGCCGGTTAGCTCACTTAGGAGAGCGTGGTGCTGACAACACCAAGTCAAGGGCTAAGATCCTCTTACCGGTCATCTTTTTAAAAAAAAAAAAAGAATATATACTGTTTTAATTTTGGCAAAAGATGTCTTCCTTATTATTTTGTCTAAGATCCTCTTACCGGTCATCTTTTTTTAAAAAAAAAAAGAATATATACTGTTTTAATTTTGGCAAAAGATGTCTTCCTTATTATTTTGTTAATAAAGCTTCAGCTTAATTTATAGTTTGGCTTCAAAAAAATCAGATTTACTAACAACTGAAATAAATACTCTCTTAACACAAAAATGCTAAGATCAAAACAGATGACAATTATAAGAATCAGTATTTGTGCAGGAGCACTTGTTTACTGCCAGGAAATTGTTCATACAATGATTTAAAATGTACAGAATGGAATTACCTGTTTCAGAGACTTTTCTATTTCAACTCTGCTTTCAAGATTAAAAAGCTCTTCATCTTCTGACAAAATTTGCTTTTCAGAGGACCCTAAAATATAACTGAAATATAGTACAAAGTTAAAATATGAAAAGGGAACAGGAACTAAACTTATGTCAGTTTCCCTTACCAGCCAGCCAACAAAAACAAACAAAAAAGTTTGTGTCAGTTAATAACATTAAAACTGTAAGTATATTACACTGTATAGCAATACCAAGTATATGAATAAAACCCTTATTTTTGTTAATAGCAACCTACCTAGAAAGCTGTACTACATAAAGTCATGTCTTTCTCCATAACAGTTTTGTCCAAATATTTTACATATTAATTTACCAATATTATAATTTATTGGAATAAACTTGCTCTTTAGTAAGCTGGGAGGCAAGACATTTTCCCTCATAGCTCAAAATTCTAAGGGAAAATTTAAAGATCCTGAAGAAGTCATTGCTTTCTTGTTTTACATAACTTTTCAGAAACGTGTGCTTTGGAATTTGACTTTTAATAAATAATTTGTGAAGCCAACTCTTGATTACCCAAATTTGGGCAACTTCAACAGTTCTCCTCTGAGTTATGTTTTGCTGGACTCTCTAGGGTTATGAGATATTATGGTTTATAAAATATTCAATGAAAACTGGCCAGGCAACAGAAAGAGAACAGGCCCACTATTGGTAACCAAATAAATCTAAAAAGTAAGAAAGAAAATGTATTTCTCAAAAAAACCCTTGATTCATTTGCATTTCTTTAATAGAAATCTTTTATCACATGTAGCAACTTCAGTATGTCACTTCTTTTGTCAAATCAGAACAGTCTTCCCTGGAAACCCTATAGATTACATTCCTGAAAAACAGCAGGGTAGACAAAATTGCAGATGGCAATTAATATTTCATTTTGGGGGAAAATAATTACAGAGGGCATCCACTTCTAAAACAAAAACAGATCCCTTGGCATTGAAACCCTCCCCCAAGAAGTAACTTTTACTCTAAATTCAATGGTTCAGGAAAAATAGCTTTAATACTATTATCTCCTAGGGCAAAATCTTCCATACATCTTCTTTACAGATAATATCACTTTTAAAAGTTTTGTACCAACTCTACTGGATTAAGAGTTCATGTCTTTTATACTTACACTCTCCCTTACTTTTCACAAACCTTGGTAAAATTCTCATGGAGATTGAGGGAGCATTTGTCTGGGCCTGGGTCTTCTATTCGTACATTAAAAACAAAATGGATATCTCTCCAGACAGACCTACATGCTTTATAACATGGAACAGGACTTGTTAGAGTATTCTTTTGTGTAAGAGGTATAAAAAGTTTGCAGATTATAGTTTTGATCTAAACCCGTCTAGTTTCAAAAAAAGTGGCAAAACTGCAGTTATCAAGGAATAACTGGATAAGAAATTATAGTAAAAAGAGTACTGTTTTAAAATTTTTAAAGAGAAAAATCTAAGAAAATCGACAGGTGTGATAAAATACCTCAAATAATGAAAGTGCAGGCACTTTCTTTTCTTCTTAAATTGTTCTTTTTTCCTGATATATAAGGTTTCTTAGGCATCCTTAAAGTCTTGAGGGTTATATCTTTTGCAGGATAAGTAAAAATCAGGGGTCAACTGATTTATTTAATTTTGTGTTCCTATTTAAAAAGGCCAATGAACTGGTAGACCATTAAGATATCTGAAATTCTTCAACTGGTGTCTGTCACCAGTTTCTAACACATACTTTTTAGAAATCTTGAAGAATGAAGGCATTTCCTTGCATTTCTCAAAAAAAAAGCAGACAATTCTTTACTTTAGAGAACAGTTGGACTTTTTATTTCTGCTTTTCCAGAACACTAAAGGGACTTCTTTTCTAACTAGTTTTGAAATTCCTATTTCTTCACGATATTCTAGGAGGCTAAAAACTGAGGGGATGAGGGCCGGCCCGGTGGCGCACTGGATAAGTGCGCCGCTTGGGAAGCGCGGCGGCGCTCCCACTCGAGGGCGCG